ATATATATATACATACATACATACATACATACATATGCATGCTTATATGTTTGTTATATGTACAAATGTTTGCTTAATAGATTTTAGAACTTGTACAATCACATTTTATTGCGTATATTGTCGATAAGTTTATATATTTGTAATAAAATTACAATCTAAAGTCTACGGCACATACAAAACATAAAGCCGTAACACGTAATTGACCAATCACAGTAGAAATAGTAATGCCAGTAGCGAATCCAATGTTACGATTTCCTTACTGATTACGTCTTATGGCCTTACGTTTTTTTATGTGCTCCTGGCCTCAATAAGTATATATGAGAAACATAATCATGAGAACTTTACATGAAAAAATAATATTTTATTTATTGTTTATCAATCCTTTCTTCTGATTAATAATGAGAAAATAGGTCTACATAAGAAATACTTGATATATACTTTCTTATTTTTACATATTATTTTTTTTCCATTCCTCCATCCACTCAAGTACTCTATCTACATTAATTGGTATCTGGAACATTGTTCATTAGTTGCATTATTTTTCTGGATTAAACGATTCTTGAAATTCTTGAATAACAAACATTTCAGCTCCAACATTTCTGTCTGATTTGTTCTTGGCCTTTCTTTCCGTCTTTCGTTTTTTATGTAGACGGTTGTCTAAAGCAGCATCGTTTACTTTAAGTACAAACACAATATCAAACCAATTTCGAGGGAACAAATCAGCATTGCGATAGTCCACAATTTATTCTCCTTCTCTTATCCACTTCTCCACTTCTCATAAGTTTTACTAACTAGAAAGAGAGATGCAAACAAAAATTTAATGTATGTTTTAGATGATATAATCTACAGAACATATTTCATAATTTTAATTCAACTTGTTAGCCAATTTTAAATAATTTAATGTTGTATGGCTCATTAATAATTGATGATGGTTTTATTTGTTCATTGTTAAATAACATATATTTCATGATTTAAAAACTACAAAAATTATGATTATTAAGAATAAAGTCTAATGTTCGTATTACTAGTAACAGACAATTGCATTGTGTTTATGTTTCTTAGATCTAATTCTACCTTTCTAGGATCTAAATGTAAGATTAACTTAAATCTTGATATTTAACTTTAATTACTTTTTCCAAGAATTTCTTAGATTGAGAATTAAAATATATAATATATAATTAGAAAAAGGTAAAGAATAAAATGAAAAAATAAAGATTAAATCTTATGTTGATATTAGGCCTTGATTATTTAAAAAGGAATTATGTTAGCCAGCATCAACGTTAATATTGCATATATTTAATTATGTATTTACGTATGATATCAGAAATTATTTTATGATTATATCTCTTTAATAACAATATCAAACAACCTTAAAATTTGATGTAGATCACAGAGATTCGTGAGACATGGAAACATATTATATTAATGAAATGTAACTATGGCCTAGTTTCCACCGAGGGTTCATATCCAGTTAGATGTCAAATCTCCTGTAATGGCTCTGGCAAACTAGCGCGATGTTCGTCACGCTTCTTTCTTCTTTTTTAAAGTTAATGACTCCCGAAATAATAAACGGAAGTCAATACGACCTTATGAGAAATACAAAAACTAAAAATGATGCAAGCCCGCAAAAATGACGAAGCTCGCCCAGACACTGGGCGCCTGCATCTACGACATCATCACGCCGCGTGGACGCGTATCAGGACGCGAACGAACAGATTATCCAAAACCACGGGATGGCTATGTATGTTTCAATGCTCAGTCAAAGTCGGCAACACTTTCAAAAATATAATTTGTACCCGAACCGAGACGCGTCCGCTGCAGGCGAGTGCCTGGGTTCTTCAGAACTCGCGCGCGACATGCGATATCCAATGAAAATATATCTTTAGTGAAAACATCGGTAAAACTGTATACTCATTGCGTGCGACGAACATTGCTGATGTGTCGGAGGCATAAAGAGAATATTCTTCTTCTGCCTCATTAATGGCTCCTGCGAGAAAGTGTACTGCGATCGGCCAATATCCCATGTGACAATAAGAGAGGGAATTAAAGCATCAACGCGATGCTACAAATGCTTTGAAGTATTTTTTAATTGATCAGTTTGTAAAATTCTTTCTTCTAATTGGTTCAATGCTTCAAAGCATTTGTATTACTTATCTCTGAAATTCTATAATATGCGTAACGTAAATTATAGCATGTTAATGCGCTAACATCATTGTAAGCGCGTTCTGAATATGGGTCCACTGCCTAATGCTTAATTCATACTGGTCGCAGCAAGCGTCAAGCAGCGAGCAGCAACCAACTAGCGATATTGTTTACGTCACTGTAAATATCGCTTCACTGATTGGTTCCTGCTCTGCTGCTTGATGCTGCGTGAATTAGGCATATAGGTCTATTTTCTGTGCTGAACTAGTGTACACTTTTGAAACTTAAAGTGAGATAGATATATATTTGATTTTTGTTTAAAGCAAGAAAGAGAGTTCTAAAACAGTCTAGTGCAGGAACAGAAAATAGACTATATGTTGTCCCTTCTACCATATAAACCAGATAAACTCTCTGAAGGATCGCGCAAGGTCACATTACAAGGAAAGAAAAAAATTAGCATCAATCTGATTGCTGTTACATTCGTATTTGTACAAGATGAACATGCGTAGGAGCGCACCTAACATTTTAATATGTGGTATGTGATAGCATTGTTGTTATTTAGTATAAATTCTAGATATCCTTACTAATTATTGTCAATGTTTTTTTAGGCACACCTGGCGTAGGCAAGAGTTTGATGGCGCATTTGTTGGAGGAAGAAACTAAACTAAATTGGATCGACGTCAGTAAAGTAGCTATTGAGACTGGATGTGTGAGAGAGTATGACGAGGAATTACAATGCAGCGTATTGGATGAGGACGCGGTAATTATTCTTGTAGCCATAGTTATTTCATTAATATGTTCCATGTCATGTGACACTCTCCTGACCTACACTAAACTCAGGTTGTTTGATATTTAGGCTGTTAAAGAAATATAATCATAATTGCACAATTAAATGTACAATTGATATATTGATGCTAGCTAACAGTTGCTTTTTAATAAACAATAAATTAAAAAGACTCAATAAATTAATAAATAATATAAAAAAGGAAAGAGCCAAACTAGTTGTATGTGCTAATATATATTTTTGAAATTAAACAAATAAAAGTTTTGATCCCTATTGGATTAATATCAATTAATATAATCAATCAAGTATAATCGTTATAAATTAAAATTGTATCTAAATCATAGTAATGTATGTACTTATCACTAAACACAATTTCTATGCCTAAAATTCTTCCTCAAAGTAATAATTGATGAAAATGAATGATCGGAGGTGGTCATCGAATCATGATGTCATTTTGAACGTTTGAGTAGAAATTCCTTTTTAATTAATCAAGGCCTAGTCACTATCAACATAAGATTAATTTTAATTTGTTTTTTCAATTTATTTTTTATTTTTTTCTAATTCTAAGATTATTTTAATTTTGAATCTAAGAAATTCTTTGGAATTTGAAGAAAATAAAGAAAGTTAAATCAAGATTTATATAAGTTAATTTTACATTGGTAGAATTGAGTCCAAAAAACATAAATATAATACAATTGTCTGTTGCTAGTGTAATATGAACATTAGATTTTGATCTTTTTAATCACAATTTTTATAGTTTTTTTAAATTATAAAATACACTCGTCAACAAAATTATTGCATAGGTAAATTTATATCGTACGAAAAAAATTCACTCCACCCATAGAGTGTATCAAACTATGCAAATTTCTAAAAAAAAAACAAGTCCTTATTTTTGAAAAGATGCCAAGTAAGAGTAAAGATAGATTCAAAATCCATTGAAAGTTTCGTAAAGTATAAACTTTACCCTCAAAAATAAAAAAAACTTTTAAAAAACTTTTTGCCATTTTCGGAGTTATATTTATTTATATTAAATTTTGATATAAATTTATGTATTCGATAATTTTGTTGACGAGTATATATGTTATTTAAATATAATGAACAAATAAAATGAATTATTGATGATCCATACAATGTTAAGTTATTTAAAATTGATCAACAAGTTTGGTTAAATTGAAATTAATATTTTCTATAGACTATATTATATCTAGGTCACATATTAAACATACAAATTTTTGTTTGCAATATCTCTTTCTAGTTACTGAAACTTATGGAGAATTGGATGAGAAAAGGAGGACAAATCGTGGACTATCACAGTGCCGACTTGTTCCCTGTAAGTTGGTTTGATATTGTGTTTGTGCTCAGAACAAACAATACTATTTTATACGACCGTTTACAAGAAAGAGGTTATAACAAGAAAAAACTACAGAGCAATGTAGAAGCTGAAATTTTTGAAATTGTTGTCCAAGAAGCAAAAGATTCATTTGAGCCAGAAATAGTGCATGAACTAACAAACGATACTCCAGATGAGCTGATAGTTAATGTAGATAGAATATGTCAGTGGGTAGAGCAATGGAAAATAGATAATAAGTAAAAGAACGAAAATATATATTAAGTATTTCTTATGTAGTCTTATTTTCTCATTATTAATCTCATTATTAAAGAATAAAGGATATCAATAAATAATAAATAAGATATTTTCTCATGTAAAGTTCTTACGATTATGTTTATATAATAAACGTAAAGAATCATGTCAGTGATCGAGTAAATTAAAATGTATTAATTAACTAATTAAAATATTTATTATTGTATATAAATTGAATCTTTCGTAACTATCACTTTTTCAGAATGAACAATTAAATCGCTAATATAATGTCAGTTTTGACATAACGCAAAAGATGTGGTTTAGAGTTCCTTGTACATAAAAAATTGAACATTGTACATACTGATTGATAGTTGAAAAAGTAGATATCCAATTCTTGATTACATTATAATTGTCAATTATTTCAATTGATTGGTTATCAATATTTTATTGTTGCGAAAATCCGATGACAATCAAAATCAGTAATGTAAAAGT